TTTTGGCTATTGATTCCGTCGTACCGATTTTGACCCCAACACCGGTCTATGATCTTGGTGAACACATATTCACTTCGATCTGAAGCTATATCGATCGATACTTCTATAGCGTAATCGATCGACGGCAACCCATATTGTCCGATATCGCTGTCAAACCATCGGTCGATATTGCCGGCAGTCAGATCAATGGACAAGTCTAATAGCGATTGCTAATAGACTTATCTAAGAATTAAAGTTCTTCAATATCTTGAAAGCAACTTATAAAGACATATGTAGCATTATAATCCTGATTATCTGAATAGAAACCTTGAATCTAACTACTTTCTTTTATTGTTTAGAACCTAAAACCAATTCTCTTGAGCAACTCACCATTGCTCACAACTGCAATTTACTTTTAAACCTTAATCAACCTAGCATAATCACTTAGGATTATATCTTTTGTGTTCCTTAGTTCCTTGTGGATTTGATCCCTAAGTACTACAACTGAACCTCTAATTTGAGAGAGGAATTCACTCCTGAGGGTATTTGGAGTGATAGCAACTGATCCAAACCGTCTGGGAAATAATCTCGAGGACTATACAGCATCTCTCGTCGCAATCATGCGGTTAGAAAATCTCTACGAAACTTCAGAGTGAAACTCGATGATTTGCCGAAGTTACAAAAATCTTCTCCAACTTGATAAAACAAGTTTCGTATAAGAATCGAAAAATTATATGAAAAATCTTTAGGCGTTAAAGCATGGATGTCATTCTCCGTCGAACCAAGTGAGTCACGGAATAATATCAAGAACATTTGCGGCGAAAAGAAAATCGAGAACCCAAAGCAGCAATAGGGAACACGTCCTCCCTTCTCGCCGACTGATCCTATTGCTGGTCATGTGATTCATTCCGCCCGAGAAACCCACTAAAACATTTTGCGACGAGATCTTGATGAAATAACTTTTGGTAAAACTTCGCGAGTGACTCCGAAAAACTATCACCGAAGAATCAAAAACTAAGCGGAAAGGTTTCTCGAAAAAATCTGCGGAAACATTGTTAACCCATTGCGTCGTGCTGATTTACTAAATTCATCGCCCGTTACTTACGCGAGAAATTCTTCATATAGTCAGGATCATGTCATAATGAAGTAACTTTCGAAAGTAAACGTAACATTGTTTGCGAAAAGTACTTTCCTTGTTAGCAAAAACCAAGATATACGATCCGGCACTGAGCGACCAATCTAAACTTTGCTTCCTCGCACCACGATCTGAAAGATCTCACTCTTTAGCCCTTCAGTTCACGAGCATCCGCCCCGCAAAGCGACTCCGCACGGGCTCTGCATCGAGCGTCTTAGGCCCTATCTCCCTCGAGTAAAAAAAAAAAGAAACAAATTTCATACGAACAAAGGAAAGATTATACGAAACTTCATTGTATAAATCAAACCTAAGACGGAAAAAAGTTTTCTACAACAACGGGCATACTTGGCGTATCAATCTCGACAAACGCTACTTGGCCCTTGTCCGATCACGCTTCACTTCAATGCCAAGTTTACAAACCGACTCGACCTTATCGATAGCACGAAAGTGTCATGGTCTAATCCTCTACCAAATACGACCTTGGCTGTGCGGCTGAATACAACCTTCACGCCAAGCCAATACATTCGACGGATAATGCAAACTTGTCAAAAATCGGCTAAGTTCTGTATTCTCACGATTCACTCTATTTCCGAAGCAAGTTGCCTACAAAATCCGACGTGTAAGAAAGCGCTCGTAACAGAGCTCCTAAAGCCATACAAATATCAGAAGGTCAACACTTCACAAAGCACCATGATGAAAAACGCTTTGTTTCGGGGAAACAACTTACGCGACCTCTCGGTCCTAACTGCTCTAGCACAAATCATAAAACTACTTAACATCCAAGCAGGAATGTGAGTTTTGGTTGCGAATATCCGCAAACGAACCAAAGTGTTCCTGCAAAGCAGGGTCAAGACAAAACCCTCGCAACACCGCGCAACATCTTCGAGCCCGCAAATGTTTCGAACACGAAACGCGGCATACGAAATAAAAAACCAATCTTCAGCATTGCGAAACGTCGCAGACGCCTGAAGAACAGTTTTTCGACACAAATACCTTCCTCGATAAAGTCATTTTCTTGGAAGACCTAACAGTCCATCGGCGACTATAAAATACGCAAAACTTCTTAACGTATGTATCCTTCGCAAAGGCCCAAACAACGTAAACATCTATCACCTAAAAATTTTGTTGCTGATCACAACAAACTCGCAACAGTCCTAAACAAACATAAGTTATCTCGCAGAGATAGCTCTCGAACACCCGACACAAGAGTAATAGCGCTACAAAAGAAATCCAAACTTTTGGTCAGCACTTCCGGGCAACTTATAAATTGTTCCCGGTGAGTTGCTCGGTTCCAACCAGGCGAATCGTATAAGCCGAGAACCTATCGCGGATTCTAAATCGGTATGAAATCAGATTAAAATCGCAACAGGCAAAACAAAAACTGACTAGTCATCGCATAGCCTCAATCCGAAAGTAAACCTAGGTCTTGCCCTAAACCCAGCACACTTACCTCTAACGTCTCAAGGCATGAATCGAGATCCTAAAGGAATGTCTCTTCGTCTATATCTAAACGCTCACTCGATTTACTAAACATCCTAAAACGAGCAAACGAATAAGGCGATCCACAAAGGAAAAGGAATGCAAGGCGACAACTCGCGGACCTCCCTCAATATCAACTCATATTCTTCCCTCTACATTCATACGAATTAAAACACACTCTTAAAAACGCAAACTGATTTATAAAAAAGCCGCAAAAGCGGCAGGGACTCAGAGCCGCACACGGCCAGTCCGAAAACTATAATGGCCACACTCGGCCAAAAAAAACAGCCCACGAGGCTAGTCTTAAGGCCGGCAAAGGTCCAATACACATAACCAGACCGTAAAGGTCTTGCTAGGAAACAGTTCATACGAACCTTAACTCCAAAACGAACTACGAATGCTTGATCTCTTCAATAGGGTACGTAGGCAGCCTACACAAGGCGCAGCACTAATCTTAAACGCTATCCGCTCCCTGGAGAGTGGAAAGAACACCTTCAACGCAACCTTCCAACCATTGATTCCGCCTAACTTACCTAAAAATGGCTAACTACTCGCAAGAACCTCGCGCTAGAAGCTCAAGGTTCTAGCGAGCTGGGGGGCTAACTGTTGGTGTCAAAATCGGTCACGACGGAATCAATGGCTAAAGTTTCCACAAAAAATAAAAATACGTTTTATAAAACTCGAGAAGCCGTTTTATAAAATTCTAAGTATTTTTCGAAACAAAGAAAACCCACGGAAAACTTGGAAATCATTATCTCGGAAGAACGAACGAAACAAACGCCGATTACACGATCGCACGACTAAAGCACAAAACTGTGAAAAACCGCATCCGCCGTAAACCACGAGCTGGTTTGGCCAAATTAGCTCGCCGTACGGCGAGCTGAACCGATCCGGTTCGGCTAGTCGTACGTCGAGCTGATTATCCCGAGCCTCGATCTCCCACGTCCTCGATTCAAGGCATACGTCCTTCGGCTCAATCATGTTCTGAACCATGGTTAAAACGTCTCTCGTTTCTTCTCGATCTGTCCCATCGTTCGAGTTTTACGATAAAAACCGTAAAGTCTTGTTTTTTCAAAAGAACTCAAGGAAATTGTATAAAACGGCAACAGTTAAACGAAACACCAAACATGGCCTAAACTATACGATTTGCTCGAGACTTTTTGTGAGAAATCGTAAAAAAAAACGCGTTGTTAATAAAACCTCGAGTGAATCATAGAAAATGGCGACGATTAATCGAAACATCGAACATTGCCAAACTTTACGATTAACTCGAGAAACTTAAAAACGGCATCGCATCAGGAAACAAACTCGTATAAAGTCGTAAAACGGCTTTATCGCAAAACGGCTCGAAGAGTCGTAAAACGCGATAAAAGCCTATTTCACGACTTTAACGAAGTCTACCTCAAAGATACGACGACGTTTTAGCGATTTACTCGCAGAAAGAAGATAAATGTCAAATTTGAGGATAAATGTCAAGTTTGAGGATAAATAGAAGATTTTCGCAAAGAAAAAGGAAAGATCGATATAAATGGAAGATTCTCGATAAACTCGAATCTGGGTGAAATGGAAGGACTAAACCGCATAGGAAGAGAGTATATAAGCAAGAGGCATAGGACAGAAGCAAGGGACGAATTTCAGAGCTCTTATCTGAGACTTATACAACATTTCTAGACTTAGAATTTTCCGCACTTAGAAACTTAGGCTTTATTCTCGACAAGTTCGGTTTCTATGACTGGCGCTCAATTGCTAGATCGAACTCTTCCAGGCAGTTCGATCTCTTGTCCAGATTTACCAACTGAACTACGTTCGACTTGATCCTCGAAAGGGGTACGTAGGCAGTCTTTTATAAGGTTCAGTACGAAATCAATCAAATTCTCTTTTTCTTATCTTTTTTCGTCTTTGTTATCGAGCTGCGACTTGACTAGGATTAGGGTTTTATTTTGATAATTCGCTGACAGCCCCTGCGGCCAAAGCCTTTGTAAACTCTTGTAATGATCGCAACGCTCTTACCCGAAATCGAAATAAGATCTGCTTTCTCTATAAATTTGTTTTATCATGTTTTTCATATTTTCCGCATTTATTTGGTTACTTGTCGTTGGCTTTCGCAGAGATCCGGGTCCTCTGGAAAATTAGGGTTTTCCTAAGTTTCCTTATTTTACGGAAATCGACGGTGTAAATTTTGGTTCCCACAATGGAAAGACGTAAAGCATGACCACACAGTCACCTGGATAGCTTTCTGGAATGATCCTATCAACCCAAGGGTAGTGCCTTGAAAGGTCAGAGTGACATGGGGAAGTATGAGAAAAGCCAGAATCTTACGGTAGACAGCTTTCATTGTTTTTGAAGCTTGTGCTTACGCTATTACTGTTTCTCTTTTTAGCAATAGATTTCTTTTTTCTAACTGCAGAACCACATAGACAGTATAAGAGAAACTTACACCAAGAATTTTACATCTAAGAATGTTACAAAGAAGCAAATTGCTGTCGCTACTTATCTCATTGATAAACTGGCAGTTAGGGCTGGAAATGAGAAGGTACAGTTAGATTTAAGCTTCGGTTCGGTTAGGGAGCAGGATCGGTACCTACTAAGAGCTAATATAAGCAGGATCATGAAGAGGGCGTTGCCTCCCAATGGAAATATCAGTAAAGATTCTAAAGATACACTCCAGGAATAAGTGTCTGAATTCATCAGCTTCATTACCAGCGAGCATGTTGTTTCTTCTCTTTAATTTCTTCTGGAACACATAATTTTTTTCTTTGGAATTTAGATTATTAGGTTATTTTGTAGCTTAGAAAGTCTTTACCTTTTTATCTGATTTTGGAGTTTTGAATTTCTGATTAATTCAGGGCCAGTGACAAGTGCCACAAAGAGAAAAGGAAAACTGTAAATGGTGAAGTTTTGTTGTGGGCAATGTCAGCGTTAGGTTTCGAGGATTACTTGGAACCCCTAAAGATATACCTTGCGAGGTACATGGAGGTAAGTTACATTTACTCTTAACCCCCTTATTTTTTACAGAGTCTATTATAGTTCCACACATTAGTAACTTACTCGCCAATGGAGATACTAGCAACATTTTCTATATGTTTTGTTGTTGACAATCTGCTGCAAACTGATAAATTTTCTGAAGAATAACGTCAACGCAGTCTCTTTGCAATGGTGTCGCAGTCTCTTTGCAATGGTGTGATGCCTTCAAGCAAAAGAAAAAGCCAGTCAGCAGAACATTTATTTTGAGAAAGCAGTTTTAATTTTTATGTATTTTGATTTTACTAGAACAGAAAGATTGAGAGATGAAAACATTTGACTTTGGTTTAGATAATGAGACAACAGATAAGATTTTTGTAAAGCCAATACTTGGTTCAGCCTTTTAATGATTGGTCAAATGCAAGCAACATAGGAGGTGTAGGTTTTTATCAGAGGAAGAGATAAAGGCTAGAAGTAATAAAATGCTTGAGAACAACGATATGCAGCAGCTGCTGAGTTTTTTTTCTTAAAATTTTGACTGAGAGAAGATAGTCAATAACCTAAAATTTTAAATTATTATGTTTAAAAGTACTCGAAAGTAAATAATATAAAGTATAGCATGAATGTAAACAAAGAGAGCCTGAGGGTTGATTTTGTTGTGTGTTTGTATTGGAAAAACAGGTGGTTTTTCTTAGAGTGTCTTCACTGTCCATGTAGAGGCTGTGAAGCAAAGTGAAGAAACATCTATCTAGAATGAAGGTCAATCTCTTCTTATCAACAACTCTTTTTTTTTTCTTTTCTTTTCAACTTGACGTCCACACAGCATATACATGTCACTGTGAATGAGTTTAAGGTAATTTATAATTGTATTTGACAAACACGTAGGTGTGACGTCATTCAAATTGATTTCCCTTCAAAGGTGTATGGCTGGAGACATCATTCCTCTACAAGTACTGGGTTGCCTCTCAAAGGTCAAAAATACTCAGCTCAGCTCTGAGCGGCACAACCTCCATCATCATTTTAAGGCTTAATCCAGAGAACTAAAAACCAAAAATTTTGAGTATTTGTATTCAATTATCTGATTTGTTATGAATCAAATCAGTGGTAAAATTTGAGAGTTTCTTACTCCATTTTCAAATATTTATGTGAAATATTCAAAACTTTCATTTCATTAATTTCATTAATTTCATTTCTTTGACTTTATGCTATGCAATCCTTTGATGTTTTTCATATTAATTCTGATTAGTTTCTAAAGCATAGTTCATCATCTTTTACAATACAAATCTTCAAAAATAAATGACCACAACAAAAGAAAAAAAATCACAAACACAGCTTACATACATTCATTTAGATAGAGTAATTGTATTCAATCTGGAAGTTGGTTCGTTTTTTTTAGTTTTCGGTTAATTCGGTTTTATACCAAAAACAATAATTATATTTCTATTTTATGACAACTTTAGTTTATATGATTAGAAATCCGACTTATTAAAACATAATATATATTCTGTACTCTGAATTGAAAATATAATATATTATTTTTCATTTTACTATTAAAATATAAATAAGAAAAATATTAATATCACAATAGTATTACATAACTATATTTTAGCATAAATATGTACCAGTGAAAATATGTTTTATTGAATTTAATGAAAATTATAATTTTTAATTTAGAAAAAATAAAAAAAAAATTATAAAATCAGTGCTTTTCATGTATATATTATTAATTTATTATAAATTTTGTATATAAGTATAGTAGGATACTAACATATTATATTTAATCAATTTTCAGTTTATTCGGTTTAATAAGTTTTATATCAAACCATATCCAAATACCATGATTTCTTAAATTAACATCCATTCGATTTATTCAGTTTTATTCGGAAAAGAATCATATACTGATTTATGGGCTTATTTGCCAAATAGCTAGAGAAAACAAAAATTAGATTTTTAGGAGAGAGAGTAGAGAGAGATAGGAAGAAAGAAGAGAAGAGAGAGTGTGATTTTGGTTATTTAGTGTATTTGTGTTTTTTTATGGTTATAAGGGCAAATTTCCCTTAATTATCACGGGCCATTTAAACTTATCAATCAAATGAAGGTACAATCACATAAAGAATGACTTACCTAGACTTCCTACCCAGCTATGCCATGTATGTATCTTTATTATATAAACAAAGATGTCTGGGTATCTACTTAATTTTGAGTTAATTGACTTAATCTTTACCAATTTAAGGCTATTTCTTTCATATGGTTCACATCGCAACTACCTCTCTTCTCTTCTTCGAAAGACATATCTCTTTCTTACATTATTTATGATCATTTAAACTACTATTATTATTTTTTAATTATTGCAAACACTTAATAATCACCCAATTTCCCATACATTTTAAAAATACATTGTTCCCAATCCAAACAAAACATTGAAAAACTATGATCTTTTTTTTGACAACAATATAAACTAAACTATGATATATGCACACCCGATTCGGAGAACCAAACTGGAGGCATAGAATCGACATAAAACATAGCAGAAGGGAAACTCCTATTACCTCGTGCAAGCTTGTCCGCCACTAAATTTTGAGCTCTTGGAATATATCGGATCTTGAAGGTAAGAAAGAAAGTCTCACTTTGATGAAACTCCTCCAAATGTGTAGTAAAAGCTGATCATTCTTCAGGTGATGACACCATCTTTACCAGTTGAGAACAATCTGTTGCAAAAACCACATATGTGAGATTGAGGGTCTTCATGCACTCCATAGCCCATATCAGTGCTTCACACTCGGCATGTAAAGCTGATAAACTTCTTCAGAGATTCATCTCCCCCATCATCTTCTCATTGGAACCAAAGGTTCTGTAGAACCACTTGTCATGTGAACATATTTTGTTTCTTCCATGCACCGTCAATAAAGCAAATTCTACCATTGCCTACTGTTTGTCAATCAAAAGTGGGCAAAGCATGGTGGTTCCCTCCAGTAACCGTGAATTGGGCGTCTGCCCAAACCTCTGCCTCCACTTCTGCTATCAGGAGTATTTCATGTGGTGTACCAATCCTATTAGTGTAAATTTTCTCATTTTTGTTTTTCCAGATAGACCACAATATCCAAGGAAAGGAAGTGAAATTATGTTCTTTCGGGAGCCTCCAAAAGAGATAGTCCATGTTTGTAAACACCGAGGCAGTAGGAAAATACCCACGAGAGATGGTAGTTTCGATAGCGCCCATGTTTGCAGTGCCGGGGGGCATTCAAACAGAACGTGGTTAATGGTTTCGTCCTCTGCACCACAAATGTTACAATATTGATCACATTCAATACCACGTGTCCTCAATTTGTTTGCCACTGGGAGAGTTCCTTTTATAGCTTGCCAAATAGAATGTCCCAGTTTTGGCGGGCATTCCAATTTCCAAGTATAACCTAACAACGGGTTAACATTTAGTCCATATGTAGCCATATTTTTTTCCTTGTCTGGATATAGGGATTCTATTTTGTAACCTGATTTAACAGTGTATTTCCCGGTTTCTGTGAACATCCACCCATAAGAATGTGGTCGATGAAACCGACTAATCACCAATCCTTTGATAACTTTCACATCATCGGGATGTATATATGCATTAAGCAACTCAACATTCCATGAGAAGTTTACCGGGTTGATGAGATGTTCAACATTTAAAGAAGGATATAAAAATTGGGTTTGGGTTTTTAGTTTTGCTGACTTCGGGCGAGGAGATGGAATCCACGGGTCATTTCATACAGAGATGGATATTCTGTATTCACTCTTTTGATTAGCCCTTTTTTAACCAGAGATCTAGCGGATCGGATATTTCTCCAACCATAAGATGGGGAGTAAGATCTGTGTTGATCCAAAGGATCAGATTTCCAAAAATAACGGCCTTTGAAGACTCTTGAAAATAGAGAATGTGGTTTGTCTATTAATCGCCATAATTGCTTTGGCAACAATGCAGTATTAAAACCCTGAAGATCACGGAAACTTAAACCTCCCTCATCCTTGTGATTACATACTTTATCCCAAGATAGCCAATGAATTTCCTTTTTATTACCATTACTACTCCACCAAAAATGAGCTACAGCTCCATGTGATAGTCTTAGGTAATCTATAGCAGGACATAATATGATTGTGCATCGTAGATGCGACATATTTAATCATTACCTTTTTTCCTCCTTTTGTTATAAATCTGACTGTCCAGCTATTGACCTTATTATTGACCCTCTCATTTACGAAACCAAAAACATGTACTTTTGATCCACCCAAACTCTCAGGAATACCTAAATAAGTCCCCATACCATCCAGATTTGAGATTCCTAATTGTGCAGTAATTTACAACATCTTTGCTTCAGGGACTTTATGACCAAACTGTAGGGATGACTTATCAAAATTGATTAGTTGTCCCGATACAGCCTCATAATCCTTTATGAGCTTAAGAATAACTCCACATTCTTCCGAGGTAGCTTTACAAAAAAAGTAAACTATCATCCGCAAAAAGAAGATGAGAAATCGAAGGCCACCACGTGAGATCTTTAAACCTGTTAAACGCTTATCTCTCTCTTCTTTCTTAATATTTGCAATAAGAGTCTCCATACACAAAATAAATAGGTAGGGTGACAAGGGATCTCTCTGGTGTAGTCCCCTTTCTGGATCGATCCTGCCTTTCGGTTGACCATTAAGCAAAACCTTATATGTAACTGATGAAATACACTTCATCACCCGAGAAACCCAAATCGAACATAATCCCATCTTTAAGAGAAGTCGTTGCATAAAGGACCATTCAACCCTATCATTAGCCTTACTCATATCCGTTTTAATAGCCAAAAAAATTTTCCTTACAAGCATTATTTGTTCGTAAACCATGAAACATTTCTTGAGCAATGAGAATATTATCCGAAATTAATCTTCCTGAGACAAACAAAAATTGGGTCTCTGAGATCAAATTAGGGAGTAATACTTTCAGCTTCTGACATAACACCTTTAAAATAATTTTATAACCGACATTACAAAGATTAATAGGCCGTAATTTCGTCATACGGTTTGGCCTAGATGTTTTAGGAATCAGACAGATGTTAGTCAAATTAAGTCTATCATCTAAAGTTCCTGATCTTAAACTGAACTATTTATTCACAGATCCACGCGTAGCGTCGAGAAAGACCCTAGTTAGTTCTTAAAGTTGTCATACCACCAGCAAAGCCAGGGAAGGAAGACAGTAGGTATGGTTTTGTGCACTATGCAGAGAGGACAAGCGTCATGAAAGCTTTGAAAAACACTGAAAGTTATGAAATTGGTGGTATAGGTTCATTCATTCACAATCATCTTACTTTCATGTTTTTTGTACATTTCAATACTTGAATGTATTGTATATGCATAACGATGATAAATTACTAGAAATTAAATCTTTTATATTAAAAATGATGGTATCAATATTTTGAAAAAAAATTATTATAAAAATATTAAAATTAATATAAAATCATGTAAGTGTGAATCTTCATTTATTAGAAATCCAAATTAAAAGTATAATATATATATATATAAAGTGATTGTAAATAAACAAATATATAGCAGAAAATATCTCAATCTCTTTTAATTAGATTTACTTATACTAAAGTGATTGTAAATAAATAAATATAATTATTTTATTTAAGTGGTCGCTAAATTAATTGTATATATAATAGTTACAGCTTTTCAATTATTCAATATATATATTTTTATTTTATAATATATATAGAATCT